TAGCCAGACTTGCAAGGTAGAATTCGGATCATGATAGTGGGGGTGGGTGGGGAGGAAGCATTTAGGAACCGGAGGAAAGTTGTATTTTTCATTGCTGCTACATCGCACCCTGACTGGCTCGTCTCCTCCCCGAGAGGTCTTCTTTTTCAAGGACCCTCTTGCTTACCTGGCCTGACGTCTTTCTTCAGGGACTGGAGCCGACTGATAACGTGTCTCCAGTAGGTGAGAGGAAGTCTTGCCATGTTCATTTTGAAGACCCACTCCGATTGGACTCTCTCCAAGACAGGTCTGTTTGTCTGTCTGCCCTCCAGCCACACTCTGTGCGCTGGGACAATGGCCCGGGCTCAACAGTGTCCATTCTTCTTGGGTCTTGGTTTCCCGTTCGGAGGCACACGAGGTGGCTGGGGAAAAGAATGGCTTGGGTGAGAAGCTCGCTCCTCTGTCCTCCAAGGGACAGCCTCGCTCTTCAACACGTTCAAAGTCTTTCTCAGCAAGAGCCTTGCCCAGTGCAACGCCCTCCCCTACTCCCCCTTAGCCACTAGTAAGCTCTGATCTCCTTTTGTTCACAACATTGAGGGCACACAAAACATGTCCTCTTCCGCAGACCGTCCTCCCAGGATCCCTGGGGACACAGCGAGTGCCGTGTGGGGCTGCTATCCGCAAGATCAGAGTTGTTCCAACCCAGCCGTTTGCTCCTCACGAGGAAGACGAGGCTGCCTGGCCAACGTGAAAACTACAGCCTTGGAAACCCCAAGGAGCCGTTACACTCTGTCCTGCAGGATCGCTGTGCGTCAGACTTTTCTCCAGAGCACTGGATAATGTCTTCAAGCGCCGAACGCACTGTAGCCGGCACCCAGACGGTATTTCTGTAACGGACTAAGTTCATTAGATGCACGGAGCACATTTTGTTGATGGGCACGTCGTCGGTGGGGTTGCGTCCACCGTTGGTCTTATCAACAGTGCTGCAATGAACTCTGGTCTCTGCGCGAGTCTCTGCTGTCAAGTCTTGCGGGGGGAGGGGAGAGATCAGCCTAGTTCCTGGAGGAATTCACTGCCCCTCCACTTTACCAAGCACGGTGTCCTTTTCCATGCGGGGCTCCTATATGGTCTCCTATGTGCCAGGTGGGTGTTAGGGACAGGGGTCATGGCTGTTGCCCTGGGCCTGACCCAAGTCAGCAAAACTGCGGACTAAACAAGAAAAGCATTGAATCTGTGGGTGGCAAAGCAGAATGGCTCCCAGGGTTTCCTAGGCTGTCAGCTTTGTAGTCACATGGTAAATGGAGAAGAGGTACAAGTTGTCAAGGATTTCGTATTGCTTGGATCCATAAGCGATGCACGAAGAAGCAGCAGTTAAGAGACCAAGCAACACTTTGCATGGGATAAATCTGCTGCAAAAGACCTCTGCAGTGCTGAAAAGCGAGATGACTTTGAGGGCCAAGGTGAACCTGACCTCATAGGCACGTGAAAGTGGGGCTTGGACTGCTGCAGACTAAAGGACAATCGCTGCACCTGAGTTAGGGTCCTGGCACAGAACAGTGAAGTGCCGCGGACTGCCAATGGAACAAGCACGTCGACTCGGACGACGCACAGCTAGAGTGCTCCCTGGAGGCACGGATGGCGAGACGTGGTCTCACAGACTTTGAACATGTTGCCAGGAGAGACCCGTCGCTGGAAAAGGACACCGTGCTTGGTAAAGTGGAGGGGCAGTGAGATAGTTTATTATGCCAGCCTGGCCGATAAACACAAGTGGGATTAACTGAAGGGCAGAGAGATAAATGGCTTGGTGAGTCGCGCCTTTCTTGTCTCTCGCTCTTTGATCATCGGACCAGTGTGCGGCTGCCTTGCTTGTCCTGTGCCTCAATTTAAAGGCTACACTACCTGTGGGACGCCTAGCCTGTGGACTGTGTCGCTGTAAGTTGAGGTCCCTTTAAGGGATCGCTGGAGCTGGGGACTGGCAGTTGGTGACCTGGCTGGCAGTTGGTGACCTGCCTTCTGATTGGCTGCTGTGCTGACATAGCCTAGCTCTCTCTATAAATAGAGGAAGATCTGGCAGCAGACTGGACTTGAAGGACTGCTAGTCTCTCACAACTCTCTCACGGCAGTGAGTTGAATTGAGCCATTTGTAGTGCTTTATAATTTAACTGTTTCTTTCTTGTATTATATATTTAACTGTATATGATTTAACAGTTCATTCCTTGTTATATAGCTAATTATCTTTATAAATAAATATATTAAATTATCAGCAGTTTGGTTTTATCTCTCTAGAGAACCCTGTCTAACACAGGCAGCGAAGGAAGGGAGGGCCCTCCAAGAGACTGACACGGTGGCTATCACAACAGGCTCAAACATAAGAACAACGGTGCGGGTGGCACAAGACAGGGCAGTGTTGGGCAGCATGTTGGGCATTGGGTTGCTATGAACCAGCACCTAATAACCCATGACACCCGCACCACACCGTGGGCGAGTTTTGAAACCATGCTGCGCCGAGTAAGTCCATCACCAAAGAACCAACGCGGGATGGTCTCCTGTACATGCGACCAACAAATAGAGCTCCAGCTCACTGCCATCGCATCGGCTCAGACTCACAGGGACCCCGGAGGGCAGAGTAGACCTGCTGTGTAGGGCTTCTGAGAGCGGACAGCCTTTCTCCCAAGTAGAAGGGGTTTGAACTGCCGTCTGTAAGGTTAGTAAAGCTGAAAAGGGGCATAAGATGAAGCCACGGGGCGGCTGGTGGAGGGCAGCTTCAGCCAGGGGTAAAGTGGGGCTGTGCTGGTGTCCCTGGGAGAAAGTGAGACTGGAGAGCTGAAGGCTGAAGGGGGAGAAGGGCCAGGCTTTCAGGTGCCTTTGGGATGCTACGGGCTGGCCGGACGGAGCACTAGGACCTTGGAGTGCATGGGATGGGGTGTGTGGCTTGGCCTGAATGGGGGGACAACAGGAGAGGATGCTCTGGTCTCTGACGCCACATCTGTGCACGCAGCCACGTGAGAGCCCTCAGCGAACTCAAAAGCAGACCACACGGTTCTGAGTACCGGTTTTCACTTTCTCATTCTCTTGCCTCTTCACGCCCCCCCCCAGTGTGACCCCTCAATTTCCTCATCTGAGAAATGGGGCGTTTGGGTCCTCCAGATGGTTGATGGGCAGTAGGGTGATCGAACTTTTGATCGCATCGTTATTGACTCCATGGCAGTGGGCAGCAGTGAACCAGCTTGGTTGCCAACTGAGAGTTGGACGTTCCAATCCAACCGAGAGTCACCTCGGAACAAAGGCCGGGCAATCTCCTTGGGGGGGAAAGCCACGGAAACCCGTGCGGAGGGCGGTGCTGCTGTGAGCGCAGGTGCACCATGAAGGCGGGGTCCGCTCCGCGGCAACCGCTTTTTGGGGTCTGGTTTCTGCTGGAAAGAGACAACTAGCCCACACCGACGTGCCCAGCGGCGGAGCTCCATTCTCCTCAACGCTGCAAGGGAAAACCTGCCTTCCGCGCCGTTTTGAAGGCGTCGGGAAATGATGACCGAGCGGCGCCGGCCCCATCCGACAGGTGGGCCG